CCGGACAAGATGTTAAGTTCGGGCCTTCACACATCCTCTCTCTTTGGGGCAGAAAAAGCTGTTTTCATAGCTATGAAAATGTCTGTCATACTAGAAATTGACTCCTGCCAAAGTAACAATTCTTTACCAGTGCAAAGCACCCTCCTTTCCCAATAGTGGCTAACTTGCACTTTTCAGTAGGGAATGTAAAACACAGGATCATGTAAGAGCAACCAGTCTGTACATTAAAACTACAACAATACGATCATGTCAAAGAGTTTAACTGCATGTAGATTATTACTGTAACAAGGCAAGACTAGTGGGTTGGGAGCAATTTAGAATCATAGAATCATAGAATGACTTTAAAAAAATAAAAGGTCTGATACATAACAGGAATGCTTGGAGCAATATAAAAGGCATCTCCACATCCTTGAAGAAACTACAAACTACAGCATATCAACAAATACATGTATTTGTATACATGTATCTGTATATATACATTAGGACTTGACCATTAAGGTCAGTCTGCTGTTATAAATAACAGAAAACTGTTCATTATATAGTTCATATTCACAACTGGCATTCTGAACATTCTGGAATTTTGTGTTTGTTTCTTCTTTCTAAAAACACATGCAACACTGTGTTTTTATAGTTGTGTTACAAAAAAAAAGTTTTAATTATAAGATGTCTAGGCAATACAGAGCCGTTTGACCAAAACAAAAGCTTTCTTAACTCATAAAGGGTGACAGCAATTTCATTGTGAAGTGAAAGATAATTCCTTGAGCAACAACACTTCTGTAACTTTGCATTTCTTAAAGTACTCTTTCAAAAATAATATTCAGTAAAATTTAACAACCTAGACAGATCATGTGCACTAGCAGAAGTTTTCATTAGCTACCAGCTTCAGTGTGTATTAACAAAAAAACAAACAAACTCACCACCAGAAGCAGATCAAGGGGTATATACCATCTATTTAAAAATGCATGCAAAAGGACAGATCTCACAATGAAGTTGAGTAATATCATACTCCTATTACAAGTAATATATTGGCTAATTCATCCTGTATATTGACATCTTGAATCTCTAAAAACTAAATAAAGCCCATCCTCCTGCAGAGCAAGCATTGTCATCGCAGTGTTCCAGCACCCTCCAAAAACCAGAGAATATAAACACAGAAAACCTCAGTTATCTGAAGGGTAGAGGAGAACTACTACGCTCAAGACACAAACCAGTTTGTTTACTTTCCAGTAATAAGTATCTACAGTTGTAAGCAAATACCGCCATTCTCCGATTCATAAGTGAATCTATACAGAAAGTGCTTTTAGGCCCTGTAAACTGGCAAGCGTTCTGTGACTGATACTGGTTACCCACTGAAGTATTGTCTAATAGAAAGAAAAGATTATACAGTTTCTTTCACAGAAACGATGTTTCTTATGTTTCATTCCACATCCGGGTTTTCTATTAACCTTCCAGAGAGTTCTAGAAAATAAAATATCTTTTACCTTCCATCCTCCAGCTGGAGTGCTCTCAGTCCTGCCAGTACAGCATCTTTATTTACTCGACTTAAATCATCTCCGAGAATAACCAGACATGACAGACCTGTGTAAGTCATTGCTATGTGTCCACTATCATAGGGATGAGATATACCTAGACCCTGGAAAAAAAGCGGGGAAAAAAGAAAAATATTGAAACATCATAAGACCTTATATTACAGTCAACCATTCATTTTTAAGAAAAGTTAAGAGGTAAACAAAGTTATTTTCCCTTCACTCATACGGTTAAACTGAAAGTATCCGTATGGGGTTTGCGTGGCAAGGTTTTGGTAGCAGGGGGGCTACAGGGGTGGCTTCTGTGAGAAGCTACTAGAAGCTTCCCCTATGTCTCACAGAACCAATGCCAGCCAGCTGCAAGATGGCCCTGTTGCTGGCCAAGGCTGAGCCCACTAGCAATGGTGCAGCACCTCTGTCATAACATATTTAAGAAGGAGGGAAAAAGTCCTGCAAAACCGCAACCAGGGTAGAGAAGGGAGAAAATGTGACAGAAACAGCCCTGCAGGCACCAAGGTCAGTGAATGAGGACAGGGAGGAGGTGCTCCAGGTGCCAGAGCAGAGATTCCCCTGCAGGCACCAAGGTCAGTGAATGAGGACAGGGAGGAGGTGCTCCAGGTGCCAGAGCAGAGATTCCCCTGCAGCCCCTGGTGAAGACTGTGGTGAGGCAGGCTGTCCCCGTGCAGCCCGTGGTGGAGCTGAGATCCACCTGCAGCCCATGGAGGACCCCATGCCGGAGCAGATGGATGCGCTTGAAGGAGACTGCGACCCTGTAGGACGCCCATCCTGGAGCAGCATCCTGGCAGGACCTGTGGAAAGAGGGGCTCATGCTGGAGCAGGTTTGCTGGCAGGACTTGTCACCCCATGGGGGACCCATGTTGAAGGGCTATAACCTGTGGAAAGGACCCACGGTGGAGCAGTTCAGGAAGAGCTGCAGACCATGGGAAGGACTCATGTTGGACAAGTTCATGGAGAACTGAAGTAGGGAAAAAAAAAGAGTGTGAGGAGTCCTCCTGCTGAGGAGAAAGGAGCAGCAGAGACGGTGTGTGATGAACTGACCTATTCCCCATCCTCCTGTGCCACTGGGAGGGAGGAAGTAGAGAAAATCTGCAGGGAAGTGGTGGGGGGAAGGAGTTTTTTTAAGGATTTAAGGTTTTTTCCTTTTTCCCCTCATTATCCTACTCTGATTTTGATTGGTCATAAATTACATTAATTTCCCCGAGTTGAGTTTGTTTTGCCCATGACAGTAATTGCTGAGTGATCTCCCTGTCCTTATTTCAACCCACGAGCCTTTCGTCATATTTTCTCTTACTTGTCCAGCTGAGGATGGGCGACAGAGTGGCTTTGGTGGGCACCTGGTGTCCAGCCCAGGTCAACCCACCACAGCATCCCACTCAGTTTTTCTAATCGAGCTGAACTACTGCATGGTTCTGCTACCCTTGTAAACAGTTGGTCAGTAGCAAGCTTTGGAAAAAAGCTTTGCCTGGAGTGGTATTTATGCAAGAGTTAAGCAAAAAGGTGGGATGTGCTCAACTGTACCTGAGTTTACCCTGACACACCACTGGGCATTAGCTTCCTGGCAGCTGGGTAAGCACTGGTGAACAGCCAATGCTCTAGAGGTTCTTTCAACAAAGATTTTGCAATCTAATGATCTACAAGTAAAAAAGCGGTGTGAGGGATTATTAGTAATCTCTCTGTCAATTGAAGTAATACCAAATTAGCCTCTCATCTACTTTCATCACTATTCTAAAACAATAATCAGAGATTAAACAAAGTATTCACATAGCAAATCATGTCAACTGAGAAGCTAAAATGAGAGTTAATTGCTGACTGGTCACACGATACAAATCACAATAATGGGCAGGAGACTAACATAGCTGTGCTAAAACTATTGTTTTTCCTTCTGATATTTTATAGGCATATCCTGGACTGTACGACTTCATGCAAACAAAAACCACATGTAACAAGATGACTTGATACCTGGGCTGATTCAATTTAGAGCAACTAGAAGGCAACTATTTTAAACAGGATGAAAGCTATTTCAATACTGAGTAGCAGAAACAAGCAAGTTTTTAAATCACATTTTAATAGCCCTTTTGCCTAGTCAGCTGCCATTTTTATCTTGCAATTCATCCTGAAAATACACACAAAAAGCAATATAAAACCAAATCCAAGATTATATTATTTGTAATTGGTATTTTTCAGGCAAGTCAGGCTTATTTCCAAAGCCCAAAAGCTTTGCTTCTAACGAGAAACCAGAAGAAAAATACTTATTAGCCCCTATACAGCAAGGGACTCTTCTCACACTAGGAAATCAAACACAGCTGGGAAAAGGAGGCAGAAAACAAGGTGAAAGTGTCTGCAGCAGCACTGGAAAAGCTCTAGCTATGCAACAGAGAAGGGGAACAAGACAGTGAGCACTGAGAGCTGCACCTCATTTCCAGCCCTGGACTCTCTGTTGAGAAGGGGATGTAAATCTCAACAGGTTCCACTCCTACCCCTGAGCTGACAGTGCTGCCATCACCGTCTCCTGCCCTGCACATCCCTGACTCACACACGCACCATCACAGAGCAGTGGAGGCTGCTGGCAGGGACCTCTGGATGTCATCTGGTGCAACACCCCTGCTCCAGCGGGGTCACTTAGAGCTGATTGCCTACAACCATGTCCAGATGGCTTTTGAGTATTTCCAAGAATGGAGACTCCACCGCCTCCCTGGGCAACCTGTATCAGTGCTCTGTCACCCTCACAGTGAAAAAATGCTCCCTGATTTCAGAGGGAACTTTCTGTGTTTCAGTCTGCGCCCGTTGCCTCTGGTCTTGTCACTGGGCACCTCCCCTTTATGTATTTGTATACATTGATAAGATCCCCTGAGCCTTCTCTTCTGCAGGCTGAACATTCACAGCTCTTTCAGCCTTCCCTTGTAGGAGGTGCACCAGTCCCAGCCAGACTTCCCCATGGGGCAACCCACAGATGGGAGGACAACTGTGCCCTCAAAGCTTTGAAAAAGCCACTGCCGTCACAAAACATGTTTTTCTAACTTGAGTGGATGACAAGCTCTAATCCCAGAAGGAACAACTTGGCCTATGATACCAATTTTATGGATTTAAAATCTAATAGAATCAAAAATCTTCTTTTCAGAATACTTTCTCCTTCAAAATTTGATTATAAGCAGCTTACCCCTTGCGATGCATCAACTTATTTCAAATGTAAAATTCTGCTCCAAAAATCCAGACATATAGAGTGATACAAATTTGCCCTGACACAGAGAAGTATTCAGCCTAATGTAATTGATTAATTTACTTTTAAGCAAGGCAAGTCTCTATTCTAAAAAGCCAAATTTCAATCAATTCTTGCCCTAGAAGGATTCTCAATGTCCCAGCTCTGTAGCTAAAGCTTCTCACATATTTTGTCAAAAGAAATAAAAGATACACACTAGCTGATGAAAAATATGTGGAAAGGTTCTCCAATATTAGGACCAAATGCTTACAAAATGTCCAAGCAGTTCCTGTCAGCCACTACGAAGAAAACTAAGTTTCCAAACATCTATATAATTGAAGTTAAACTGGAATAAGAGGAACACTTAACTTCCTCCTACTTGGAATGACCTAGAGCAGAGGAAGTGAAGAAGGTGCCGCTACTCATTTTACACAAACATACTGAAAACGCTGAAGCCTGAGAATGTTAACTGTTCACCACTGCTGTTTACACACTTTTACAGGTAGCTCATCTTCAAATTAATACTGACATCAGCAATAACTGAACTTGTAGCAGTAACACACTGCTTTTCCAAATATGGGGTTTCAGCAACACCAGAGCTGTATAAAATTTTGCAAGTCTGGTAGTTTACATACTAAAGAGCACAAACTATACTTGCATGATGCATATAAAGCAAACAATAGCATCTGCTGCCTGTACATACAATCATGAAATTCACAGTTAAATTAGTGCCGCCATCTGCTTCTGTCCTTGAACATCAAACAAATATTTAGGTGCAAGTAATGCAGAAAAGACTGTCAGGATACATGATTTTGAAACGTTGTTATGTGGAGAATCAGTGAGACGGTCTCAGCATTCAAGAACAGCTGCTCATAGGTCACACAACTAACTTTACTACTAAAAGTTTTCTCTTATCACAGGATTATCATGTGGCAAGTAATGAAATTCTTTATAAGATACGTTGATATCCTGTGAGGTATCTTGATATCTAACTACTAAAAAAGTGGAAGTGACAGAGGGCCCAACACACTGGTATGCAGCCAATGTCTTGAGAACATTTGGTTTATGGCCAAAAATTCCCACAAATATGGCCAATATTTCAATAAAATTAAACACAGAAGGATCAGAATCAAATATGAGATCATACAGAATTACTACAAGATGACTTTCATAGGTGTAATTACTGTAGGATTTTAAAAGCTTTTGAGAGTCTAACAGATCATTGTTCACCATGTGTGATTAAAAAAAAAAAAGTACATACACTTATTAACCAGAATAATAATACAATAATAATATATTCTGTACATTAACCTTAAATGTTGAAATTTTAAGTGTACTAGAATTCACTTAATCTTCTAGGTTTCATGTAATTATTCCAAGCTCATTGTGATACTACTTATCAAATTTTATGTGTACCTACACACACCAATATATGCTTCACACACTAATGCAACAAAACACCTGACTCCAAGTAACAAGATGTCACTGAGGCGATAACAATCAGAATAACTGGACATTTGAGACACACAAAAAAGAAACCACACAAGAAAACAATATTTTTTTTCATAGAATTGAGAATTCATAAACCTTGTAGAAACTGGCCCTGTGGCTATTTGATATCATAAAGCAGGCCTGGAATGGCGTCTCCAAATGCAAAAGATCACAACAAGACTCAAAGGTTTCATGAGATAATTGTCAATACCTTTAAAATTTGCATGGCTGGGAGGAAATGTTGCTAGACTGCCTCTGCTGTGAAAGACAGACTAATTCAGACACTGTGCAGAAATTTGTCCCAAATTTATCAAAGCACTGTAGTCAAAGCACCCGATTTTTAACTGGCATCTTCAGGCTTAGTAAAAAGAAGTCCCTTTTTAAGTTCTGTATTACCAA